GGTTGGTGGCGGTGGTGGGTTGAGGTAGTGGTGGTGGTAGTGGTGGTGGTGGTGGTAGTGGTGGTAATCGTCGCTGCGTCCCCGCCGTCGGCGCTGCTGGCCGTCGGCGCTGCTGGCCGCCGCTAGCGCCGGCGCCGGCGCCGGCGCGGGGGGGGGGGTTGGAACGCCCCGCCCCCCCCCCTTGGGCTGCCTCTGGTCATCGTCGCTGCGTCCCCGCCGTCGGCGCTGCTGGCGGCCGCCAGCGCCGGCGCCGGCGCCAGCGCCGGAGGGGTTTTGAACCCCCCCACGCCCTTGGGAGGGGAAGAGGGGGGGGTTCGGGAGGGGGGGGTTAGGAGTGAAGGGAGTCCCCCTGGTTCTGATCGACGGCGCCGAGTGTTGGGGGGGGGCCCATCCCCCGGTTCGAAACGCGCCACCGAATGTTCCCAAGGCATGCGCCCGTGAAACGTGGTCTCTCAAATCTATGGCATCGCGTTGGCATGGCACTTGGTGGGCGTCGGTATGGCTCTTCGCGGGCGCCGAGGTGTCGGCGGAGCACGCCAGCTCACACCTCTCCGTCGAGGAGGCCCTGGCGAGGAAGGTGCCTGGAGCTTTGCTACGGGGCAATGCAGATGCGGAGCTGCTTGCTGACATCGCCGCCTAAAAAGCGCGAGTAGCAGCTGATCACCGCTGCCGTGTGCAGGCGGAGGAGGTGATGGGATGGTATCGCAGTTGCGATGGCGGCTCTTGCGCGTTGCCCTGGACGCCGCTGCTGCTGCTGATGGGCCCCGCCGGCGGAGGACTGCTGCCAAGGCGAGGCAGGATGCGCCAACATCGAGGGTGTGAGCCGCATTCGCAACGGCTCACCAGCTCGCCGAAGGCTGGAGGAGCTGTCCGGTATGCCGCTGTTCGAGCTCGGACGAGGCCATGACGGCCTGGCTGCAAACGCCGTGCCACGGGCTCCGCCAGCTGACCGAGCTCGCTCAGCTCTTGAGCAAGATGAGTGGGCCCGCGGGCATGCTGGTGCAGGTCGGGGGACAACGAGTCGACGAGTCGCACCCCTCCCGCCTGCACCACGAGCTGGATTGCTGGTCCTGCGAGCGCCGTGGCTTCTCCGGAGTGCCTGGCGCCAGGCGGCTGGGCGAGGGGCCCAAGAAGCCAATGTCCGCCAGCGGGGCCCACCAGCACGGGCCTGGTCCACCTGGATGGGGTGTGGCGTGGGCTGTGGCCCAAGGCCGGCAGGCGAGCTGCTGCAGCCGCCGGCAGTGCCAGCTCCCGGCCCTGCGCGCCTTCATCCTGGACGGCTTCCTGTTCGTCGCCTGCGCGGAGGGCCCGCTGCCGCCAGCGCGAACACGCCGCTCTGAGGGTCAATACCACCGAGAGCTTGTAAGGTGGACCAGGGTGAGCACGCCCCTTCGGGGGGGCCAGTACCCCACCTCCCCACCCTTGGGAGAGAGCTCCTAAGGAAGCCGCTGGGTCGCGAGGGGCGTCTTCGGCGTTTTCGCGGCCGTGGGGGCGGCGCCCTGCTTCTTCTCCTTCGGCCCGTTTTTCTTCGATTTCGGCCGCGCTATTTAAGGCGCTGCACCGCCCGCTGGGTCGTGGGCCCCCGTCTTCGACTGAAGTTTCGTTTCCACCGCGTTCCTCGCAGATGACATTTGGCCGCAGGCGCCACGTGGGCAAGGTCCTCGTTGGCCCTTCTCGGTACCTGGGGTCTGCCAGACTTGCCGGAATGGTGCGCGTCGGCAGGAGCAGGCAACCGGGTGCAGTGCAAGGAATACGTCCGGACGCTCGTGGAGGCTTGCTGTCGCGGGAAGCTGCAACAGAGCCTACAACAGCGCATGCAGCCTTTCCCCCCGTCCTTGCCGGCCTGCGTCCTGCGGGGCGACCTCTGCAGGGCCATGGAATTGCCATTGCTATGGGAAGACCTACGGGTTCAACGTGCACTGTCAGGGTTTCGGTGCCGCCTCATCTTGCTCACATACACGCAGGGGCGCCAATCGTGGCGAGGGAGCAACGCTGCATCCTCTGCCAGGGGGCCGTACGCAGCCCTACGCTCCACGTCCTAGGCGCCTGCTGTTCCACATGCAGCCTTCTGGCAGGCCCGGGGGCGAGCGCAACCCGAATCTAGGGAAGAATGCGCACGTGTCCTGCTGAGTACGTCGCCAGGGGATGCACGCTTTATTGAGGCAGCGTCGCAGGGATGTCTCCTGGAGCAGGAGGCGGCGCTGCACTCTGGGACTGATCCTCTCTCTCTCTCTCTCTCTCTCCATCCTGCTAACCCCGCACCTACGTCGTGCGTTGGCGTTGGATGGAGTCGAGACCGGGCGAGGATCCTTGCAGAAGGGCCGCCAACGTCCCCTCTTCAAGGAGACCCAATATTGCCTTTGCCTTCCGGGTTTGGGCGGGTCCCTCCTCCGCCGGGAGGTCGCCGAGTTGAGGAGGGTTGGGCAAGCTGGCACGTAAGTCCTCGTTCCCTCCTCCTCCCCCTCCTCCTCCTCCTCCTCCTCCTCCTCCTGCGTTCCCTCGCTCCTCCTATCCATCCCATCGCCTACCCTCAAACTCCTCTACGCTCCCCTCCCGTTCCAGTTCCCTTCCCTTCCTTGGAGAAGGGAGAGGGCGAGGAAGACGAAGAGGAATAGGACAGGGAGAAGGAGGAGGAGGAGGAGAAAGAGGAGAAAGAGGGATGGATGGATGCATGGAAGGACGGATGACACGTGCATCGGAGCGGTGACTGAACCCAAACTTGGATGCAATAGAAACTACGCCTATCTGCCCCGGCCGCCCAGAGAGCAGAGGAGCTGGAAAGACGGGCTCTAGAGCGCATGCCGGTCCCGGCAGCCCTGCGGTGAGAGGGCCGCGCGCCAGCCGAGCGCGCACCAGCTGCAGACGCGACCTCTTGCCGTGCAGTTCGACTGCCCGTCTCTGACGAGGCGCAGGCCAAGTCACTCATGAGTGTGCTACGGTCAGGAACTTTTGCCCTCGGCGTCTCGCAGCGACTGCCCCAGCGACACGCTATGCCTTGCAAGCACATGACGTATCGCTCCGCTCCGCGGGGCGCGAGGCTAGAAAAGGCTCGGGTCGTTGACGCTTGGGAACTGAGAGGTGGTCAGCGTTTTGCACAGAAGCGTTGTAGGCCAGAACCGGAGGCGCGACACGCTAAGCAAAAGTTCTGAGTCGTAAAAAAATCCAGATTACGTTCGCATAAGGCGTGCCCCGCAATCGAGTTATCACGGCGCTGGGGATGGGACGGCCACGCAGGAGATCTACTACTAAGATCAGAGGCCCTGCTGCGCTGAAACGTACAAGGTCCCCTGAAGATCCAGGAAAAGCTGTGGCATCCAGCCTAAAATCTTGGACTGAAGACCGTATACGGCAAGAACTACTGCAGGTGATGAAATCCATAATGCTAAACGAGCATGCACAATGCCACATACCGTTTGATCGATATTCTGGATCATCTGTCTGGACTGGTCACCCTGTTGGCAATTATCCCAGCAGTCCTTCAATAGGGACATGATAAGGAGGAGGATGCGGAGGAAGGGGAGAAACAGGAGGGCAAGGAGGGGGAGTAAGCAAGCCAGCAACAACTCACTGAGTCCAGGTGCAACAACGACCTGCCATAAGAAGTTGCACAATGCGAGCACTGAGATTGTACACGCCAATCTACCTGTGAGCCTTGGCCCTGAACCCTGGCCAGAAGGAGGGGTAGGAGGAGGGGGAGAGGAGGGAGGGGGAAGGGAAGGGAGGGAGGAGGGGAGGAGCTCCCCGTTCCCTCCTCCTTGCCCCCTGTCGGTTTTCGGACATTGACTCAGGCCGTGGACGGCCCTTCATGACACATCCTGGGGCTGTTCTTGACGAGGCGCATCTGATGGCAACCGGCCCAGGCCTGAAAACCTGGAAGGGTGTTGACAGACTAACAGTCTCAAGAAAAACTGCTGAAGTCGATCCATCCGGGTATCAACGGTACGCCGCCGTTGGGAGCCTGTCAGAGCTCTGCTCCTCCGTCTCTGTCCGAGGGCACGGTGCTTCTTCCGCCGCTGCACGCTGGCGCGTCCCCAACACAACGGCGTGCCGCCGATACGGTCGGAAACGCTGGCCATCGCTCGGACGTCCATTCCCCGTGTTTTTGTCCAGGTTCGTGCACGGCTTCTTCGCCAAACGATCAGGGATGCTCCTCGATTGTCCTCGCCGAAGGAAAAACGCACACGTCCGAGCGATGCCAAGAACTTTTAGACAGCGTGCAGCGGCGGCGGCCCCGGCGACACGCTGTGCTCTGCAAGCGCACGGCGCGTCGCTCCGCCCCGCGGGGCGGGAGGCCGGCAGAAGCTCGGGACGTGGACGCCTGGGGGCCGCGACGTGCAGGAGGAGGAGGAGGAGGAGGAGGAGGAGGAAGGAGGAGGAGGAGTAGGAAGGAGGAGGAGGAGGAGGAGGAGGAGGAGGAGGAAGAGGAGGAGGAGGAGGAGGCCAGAAGTGGCGGCGCGACGAGCCAGAAGTGCCCGGCCGTACACGCTGATGCGTTCCCAACGGCGGCGTGTCGTTGACACTGACTCTGCTCCCCTCACTCACCCTATCTTCGGTGGCAACTCATGGGAGCCTCCCATACAAGCCTGGTAGCTCTTGCGAATCGACGCTGACCGACGCTGGTCGACGCGGATCGGCGCTCATCGACACTACGTCGGCACTGCATCAGTGATTAATAGATGCTAGCGCAAGCTAACGTGCTCGAAAAACTGAACTCCGAGAACACATTACACCAGAGAAAAACCCCGATCAGTGGATGGTTTCGCTGAGGACATCGACCGGGAACCCGGGAGCCCAGGAACCCAGAACCCACCGAAATCGGCCCGGAACCAATAACCAGGAACCCGGGCACCCGGAACCGGGAACCCGGGAACCCAGCCTGCTACCAAAATCGGCGGGAAACTTTCGCCAAATCTTTCAGCTTCCGCTAGGACCCCTTCAGTGCAAGCACTGATTGGGGAACAGAGCTCTCATGGGTTGCAACCGAACTCGCCCCGCCCCTCCCTTGGTGTGGAAGAAGGCGCACGGCTTGCACGCGCCGAAGCGGTGTCCAGCGGACCCGCGCGTAGGCAACTCGGCAGAGGCCGTCTCCGGCCCAGGGAGGGCCTCGGCGATCCGGAGCACCTGTGCCCCACGCCGCTCCCATCCACCTCCTCCTCCTCCTCCTCCTCCTCCTCCTCCTCCTCCTCCTCCTCCTCCTCCTCCTCTCCTCCTCCTCCTCCTCCTCCTCCTCCTCCTCCTCCTCCTCCTCCTCCTCCTCCTCCGTCTCCTCCTCCTCCTCCTCCTCCTCCTCCTCCTCCTCCTCCTCCTCCTCCTCCTCCTCTCGACGTCCCGTGGGCGTTTCGCCTGAACCATCCCACAATGCATGACCCTTGCATTTGAAATCTCCAACAGCTACAAGTTACAAGAACGGAAGGCTGACATGTTTCCAAAATGGGTTTCGCCGCGGTTGCGCCGCGCGCACCCGATTTCAAAATTTCCAACGGCTACGGGGATGGAGGGCGGACCCTCTTCCAAATGGGGCTTCCGCTTTGGCGCCGCCCACATTCGCCTGCAGCTGCTGCAGCCGGTGCAAGAAGGAAAGTAGGGCGCCTTTCCAAAAGATTGCTCTCGCCTCAGCGCCACGCACAGTCGGCTCAGACGCTTCCAGCAGCTGCAGAAAAAAGCCACGCCGCGACAATCCATCCATCTTCCCACCTGTGCGCAACGCTGGCGCCATGCAAAAAGCGAGGGTGGACTGTCCGGCACAAGTGCGCACAAAAAGACGCATCAACGTAACCGCTGAGGTAGCCGACGGGAGAAGGAGGATGAGGAGGAGGAGGAGAAGGAAAAGGAGGAGGAAGAGGAGGCCGAGAAGCAAGACGTGGCTGCAAGGAACGACTGTGCTGCGAACTTGGACGGAAATCCGCCGGATTGATTCGGAGACAAGGCGGGACATGCCGAGTGAAACGCTTTTCAGACGCAGCGGTGGCGAACGAACAGCGCGCCCGTAGCCTAAGCGGGGCGCTGCTATGCAAATTGCGTAGTATCTGGCGGGAGACAGAAGAGGGCGGTCGCGAAGGGGGAGACAGAAAGGCGACGCACTCAGACCATGAAGGACTTCGTGAGCAGTGTGGCCGCCTATTTTGGGTAGGAGTCGTGCGAGGTGGGCGAGGGTCACCCTCCAGCCCTCCTCATCACAAACAAATGCTCCTCGCCTTGCCACCAGACGTGTCGGTGGGGTGGCTGGGCGTTTCGCCTGAAAGTGCCCCACAGGAGCCACAAAGATGGAGGGCGAGCCGTTTTCGAAACGTGACTCTCACCGTGGCGGAGCGCTCATTCGTGGGAACGATTTCTCACAGCCGCACGGATGGAGAGAGGCTCAACGTGTGCTCGCTTCAGCGCCGCGCACATCCGTCTGAAATGCTTCCAAACATTGGATCGATGAAGTGAGGCCCGATTGCACAATGCGCGTTTCGCCGAAGCGCCGCTCGCATTCCTTCCAGCGACCTTCCAAGACTCACGAGGACGGGAGGCGGGCTCTTCTTCCCAGCCAACCTTTGGTGGTGTGGGTCCTCGCTTTGACAAGACAGCGCCCCGCGTCGCCTTCCTCATATCACCCTATCCCTCCTCTCATCCTTGCCATTCGCATGTCCCTGCTTCGGCACACCACTCACAAGCTTCGTGGCCCCATAGGGAGCTCCACCGACGGGCCCAATGGCAAAGCTCGCATGCGTCTCCCCCAACCAGTGCAGCGTTTCGTGGCCCATAGAAAGGCTTACCGAAGGTCCGAGTGGCGAAGTTCGCATGTGGTCCCACAGGGAATTCCACCGACGGGCCCACTGGCAAAAGTCGCATGAGTCTCACCCACCCAGTACACCGCTTTGTGGTCCATAGGGAGCTCCGCTGAAGGCCTCCATGGCAAAGTTCGCACGCGCTTTTCCAACCCAGTACAGCTTTTCGTGGACCATAAGAGCCCACCGAAGGCTCCAGTGGCAGAGTACACATGCGCCTCCCCTCCCCCCCACCCACCAAGTACAACGTTTCGTGACCCGTGGGGGACTCCACACGAGGCCCCAGTGGCAACGTTCGGATGCGTCTCCCCTCTGCACCCAATACGGCGTTGCATGGCCAATCAGGAAATCAAGCGAAGGCCCCGGTGGCAAAGTTCGCATGCGTTCCCCCACCAAGTACAGCGTGTCGTGGCACATAGGGAACTCCACCGAAGCCCGCCCCCACAGTGGCAAAGCCCGCATGCGTCTCCCCCACAACGCGCCGTGGCTCATAGGGACTCCCACCGAAGACGATACCCACAACTGCGGCCCCCACAACTGCATATGGCTGGGTTGGTCGCCAGGAAAAGTGTCACAACCATCCTGTGATGTTGGGTCAGCGTTTTGAAGAGACAGCGCCCCGCGTCATCACCTTCCTCCTCCCCCTCCTCCCTCCTCCCATCCGTGCCCCTGTCCTCCGCATGCCAACCTGTTCGGCACACCTCTCGCACGTTCCGTGGCCCTGTAAGGAACTTCACCGACGACCCCTCTGGCAGCGTTCGCATGCGTCTCCCCCCACCAGTACAGCGTGTCGTGGTCCATGGGGGAATCTACCGATGGCCAGTGGCAAAGTTCGCAGACTCCTCCCTAGTCCAGTACACACTGAGCGGCCCATCGGGAGCCCCACCGAAGGCCCCAGTGACATCGTTCGCATGCGTTCCCCCACCAAGTATGTTGCAGCTCATAATTAGCTCCACCGAAAGCGTCGCTGGCTAAGTTCGCATGCACCTCCCCCACCCAATACAACATGTGACTGCCCATAGGCAGCCACACCGAAGGACACAGTCGCAGAGTTCGCACGCTGCCCCCTCACCCATTACAACGTTTCGTGGCCAATAGAGAGCCCGACCGAAGGCCTCCCTGGCAAAGTTCGCATACGCCCCCCCCGCCCCCATCAAGTGTAACGTTTCGTGGCCGATAGGGGTTTCCACCGAAGGCCCCAGTAGCAAAGTTTCCATGCCCCCACCCCAAAAAACTCACACGGCACAGCGTTTCCTGACCCATAGGAAGCTCCATCGAAGGCCCTAGTGGATAGGTTCGCGTGTGCCCCCCCCTCCCCCACGCACGATAACATTTTCGTGGCAGATATGGTGGCTCCACCGAAGGGCACAGTGGCATGGCAAAGTTCGCATGCGCCCCCCCCCACCCCACCCAGGACAGTGTGTCGTGGCACATAAGGGGCTCCACCGAAAACCACTCCGGCTCTGGCAAAGCTCGCATACGCCTCCCAGCTCCAATACAGCGCTTCGTGGCCCATAGGGGATTTCACCGAAGGACCAAGTCGCCAAGTGTTGCACGAGTCCGCCTCACCTAATACAGCGGTTCGTGGCCCATGGGGACCCCAGCGAATACGATGCCCACAACTGCAGCCCTCACAGCCGCAGATGGACGGCTCCTTCGCCTATGCGACTCTCGCATTCGCACCGCGCACATTCGATTGCAAACCGTCCACGAGCTACAAAGATGGAGGGCGATTCCCTACTCCTTGAATGCTAAGCGTGTAAGATGATGCGGCAACTACACGGGTGGAGGGCAACCCATTTCGAAAATTGAGTTACACCGCGAGAACCTCATTAAACAAACGACCAGGTTTGTCAAGTTGTGCTCCGTCTCGTCCTCCTCTTCTGGTGCCTCCTCCTCCTCCTCCTCCTCCTCCTCCTCCTCCTTCTCCTGTTCTTCTTCATCCTCATCATCATCCTGTTCCTCCTCATCCCTCCCTCTCCCTCCTCCTCCTCCTCCTCCTCCTCCTCCTCCGCCTCCTCCTCCTCCTGATCCGCTTCCTCCTCCCCCCCATATTCCTCTTCATCCTCCTCCTCTTCCACCACCACCTCCTCCTCCTCCTTCTCCTCCTCCTCCTCCTCCTCCTCCTCCTCCTCCTCCTCCTCCTCCCCCTCATCCTCATCCTCATCCTCATCATCATCATCATCCTCCACATCCTCCTCCTCCTCCTCCTCCTCCTCATCATCATCATCATCATCATCATCATCATCATCATCATCATCATCATCATCAGCAGCAGCAGCAGCAGCAGCATCCTCATCACTATCATCATCAGCATCATCACCATCGTCATCACCAGCATCATCATCATCCGCATAGTCCTCGTCCTCCTTCTCCTCCTGCCCCTCCTCCTCCTCTTCCTCCTCTTCCTCCTCCTCCTTTTCCTCCTCCACGTCAGCTTCCTCCTCTTGCTTATCCTCCTTATTCTCCTCCTCCTCCTCCTCCTCCTCCTCCTCCTCCTCCTCCTCTTCCTTATATTCCTCAGATTCCTCCTCCTCCTCCTTATCCTCCTCCTCCTCTTCTCTCTCCTCCTACGCTTCCTCCTCCTTCTCATTGTCATCCTCATCCTCCTCCCCCTCTTCCTCCTCCTCCTGCTCCTCTCCTCCTCTCCTCTGTCCCTCCTCCACCTCCTACTCTTCTTCATCCTCCTCCTCTCTCGCCGTTTCCTCGTCCTCCTCCACCTTCTCCTCCTCCTCCTCCTCCTCCTCCACTTCTCCCTCCCGTCCCTCCTCCTGTTCGGCGAACCACCCCCTTTCCGCTTCAAGCGTCACCCCCGTTCTTTTTCCTCCTCCTCCTCCTCATCCTCGTCCTCCTTCTCCTCCTCCTCCTCCTCTTCCTCCTCATCCTCGTCCTCCTCCTCATCCTTATCCTCCTCCTTGTCTTCCTTCTCCTCCTCCTCTCCTCCGCCTCCATGTACTTATCCTCCTCCTCTCCTCCCTCCTCCTCCTCCCCCTTCCTCCTCCCCCTCCTCCTCCTCCTCTCCTCCCTCCTCCTCCTCCTCCTCCTCCTCCTCCTCCTCCTCCTCTCCTCTCCTCCTCCTCCTCCTCCTCCTCCTCCTCCTCCTCCTCCTCCTCCTCCTCCTCCTCCTCCTCCTCCTCTCCTCCTCCTCCTCCTCCTCCTCCTCCTCCTCCTCCTCCTCCTCCTCCTCCTCCTCCTTCCCTCCCATCCCTCCTCCTGCTCCACGAACCACCCCCCCTTCCTCTTCAACCGTCCTCCTCCTCCTTCTCGTCCTCCTTCTCCTCCTCCGCATCCTCTTCGTCCTCCTCCTCCTCAGAATGTTGTAGGAACATGTCGTTCCATTGGGGCGAGTGGAACCTGAGCCAAACGCCACAGTGCGCAAGCGGCGTGCAAAGCTCCGCTCTAACCGCCGCAAAAATTCGTACCGATATTCGTTCAGCCGTCGGGCTGCAGTGTGTCCCCCCCCCTTGGGTTGAAAAGCCGAAATGACGGCGGGGGAACGATAACAGAGGGCAGAAGCCAATGTAAATAACCACTGGTGCCAACGACAACGGCCTAAATTGCAGACTACACAACGCACGTGCTGACTTATATCGGTTTGGCAAGTGAGCAGCAGCGCGCAGAAAGCCCGGCCCCCAACCTAGCGAAACGGGGCTACGCGAAAACTAAAACAACGGCATCACCGTTGCAGGCAAAAGCGACTCAGGTTTGGGCCTGGACTTGCAGCGGTTCCTAACAAGCGAGGCATCGTTGAACATGTCGCAGCACTGAGCCATGCAATATTATTAACGCCTTCTGCCGTACAGGTCATAATTCGCGCATGCGAGCACTTGAAATTCAACTGATCCTGAGCCCAAATCCCCGACAAAGCGGGTCGCAATGATAACTCGAAGCACGTGCAAGCTCCTTGACTGAAAGCTGTATATCCATCCGAACGGTCCTGTGCACGATACTTTGCCCTGACCACTAACGTCTTGTATTTCTTGACTTCATGAATTGGAAGGGGGCCCTTGTCTCCTTCTTAGTGTATTATTCGTCGTCTTATGATTCGCCTAACCATCTCAATTCCATTTCACACTTCGGTTGATAACCAGGATTGACTTTAAGTGTTCCGATCCTGGCAATAGTCCACCCATGATTTGAATTTCGAAATTATCTTGAGTTTCTCCTTGTCTTGTGTTACATGGTGACGCTCTCCCGTCGTCAAAACCAACACGTGCAAAGTCGATGCGTCAATTAGCCCAGTTGCTGACACCCCCGGCGCGCCGCACATCGCCTTCCATAAGTCTTCCTCACACGCCCGGGTCACATTCTTCATCGAATAACCTGACGACAATGATCTCATTGGCCTCGGCGTAAAAGCTTGCCCACTTAATGTCTGTAAGCCCCAGCTTGAGTGCTTCCTCACGCTCCCCTCGGCCATGGCCTGGTCCCCCTATAACTGCCATAGAGAATACTGATCGCTGGGCATCCACAGGATGGGTGGCTGCACATCTGTTCTTGCTTTTGGAGTTTTATTAACTTGCTGGGCCACCAGCGGAGGTTGGCAATCAGGATTGGCCTCGTCGCCCGTGTTTATCTATCAATCCAGCTCGTCCTTATGGGGGCCTTACCGGTGACAACCCCACAAGCCCCCCTCTACTTTCTCAGCGACCTCGTGCTTCTTTAATTGTTACATATGTTCCTCCTGGGCTTTTTTTAATTGAGTTTGGGACACAACCCACTCTTTGGAACGCCGTCCCAGGCCCCTACTTTAGCATCCTCGCGGTGAACCACGCGTATGTCCTCCCTGGTGACTGGCTGTATTTCAACAACACTTCCACATGCCTCGCACGCCCCTGGAACACTCAACCGGCCTCGGTGTTGGCACGCTACACAAATTCACGGGTGTAGCTGAATGTTCTGGGCAAAACGTAGGTGAATCTAGTGGCAACGTTGCGAGCTCTTCCGCCGAACTCTCTCATCCACTCTTTCCCCTTGGTCGCACAGACCTGCCGATGCAGGGGCTGTTAGTCATGGAGCGCGTGGGTTTCTTTATGAATGCTTCCTCTATTTTTTCGAAAAATGTTTCAACACATAGCAGCACACATTTCCATCATATGTCTGCACACCATCGCGCTTCAACATTCCTTCCGTTGGCGTCGCGGTCCAGCTCGAGGCCCCCGTCCCATCTCGAAGCAAGCGGAACCTGAGCCAAACGCGAGGCTTCGCGAGGCTACATTCCAACACATCCTCCTTCTCCTCCTCCCCCTCCTCGTCCGTCCTCCCTCCTCCCCCCTCCCTCCTCCCTCTTCCTGCTCCTCCCCCCCCCTCCTCCCCACACTCCCCGTCGCCCTCCCACACCCCTCCCCTTCCGTATCCCTATCCCGATCCCTATCCCTATGCCTATGCCTATCCCTATCCCTATCCCTATCCCTATCCCTATGCCTAGCCCTGTTCCTATCCCTATCCCGATCCCGATCCCGATCCCTATCCCGATTCCTATCCCGATTCCTATCCCTATCCCTAAGCCTATCCCTATCACTATTCCTATCCCTCCTCCTCCTCCTCCTGCTCCTGTTCCTCTTCCTCTTCCTCTCCCTCGTCCTCCTCCTCCTGCCCTCCTCCTCCTCGCACGACCTGGCTCCCTGGCGAGGCCGTTGCCACGTCGGTTTCCTGGGGAGGCGCCCCCCCCACCCCCGGGGCGCCCGCCAACGCAGCCCCCTCCCCCCCCTTCCTCGCGCACTGCGCGGGGCGAAGGGGAAGAGTGGGTGAGATGAGGTAGGAGGGAGATGAGGTAGGAGGAAGACGAGGCAGGAGGGAGAGGGAGGAGGAGGCGGAGAGGGAGGAGGAAACCTTTTTTTCTCATCGGCGATAACCTAAATTATCCGGGGGGGGAGGGGGCCGGCCGATAACCTAACCTTCGCGCTGTGGGCGGCCCTGCATATTCCTGCGCGCATGCTGCGCCCCCTACAGCTGCTAACGATGCAGCCGCGATGCTAGTGTTGGTGCTGTGACGATGCGGGCGCCGTCTGAGGATGCCTAGGGATGTCTAGACAGCTCGCATTCGAATTCGCGGGATGTGATTGCTAAGCGTAGCCGCGAAGTCTTCTGTACAATATCTATAGAACACGAGTGCACCACACTGCCTGTGAGCACTACAAACAATGCGTGCGCCACAACGGTCTTGCACACCACAGGTGCTGCTGCAGCAGAGGCTTCTGCGTGTACCACAGCGCCTGTGTACACCCCGATGCCTTTACACACCACAGGAGCAACGTGCACCATAGCGCATGGCAAACATTTGCGCCACACCGCTTCCGCGCACCTCCAAGGTCACGCCGGGGCCCGAAATGTGGAAAATCCCCAGGGGCCCGAACGTATCAAATTCAATATGTGAGGGAAAGTGCGCCAGTGGATCTCCCTAAATACACTAAAAGGGGTGGGGGGGTCCAGAACCCCCCCCCTCCCCCCCTTCAAGGGGGGGGGGGTCCAGACCCCTCCCCTTCTCCCCTCAAAGGGGGGGGGGAGGTCCAGGCCCCCCCCCCCCCCCTCCCTTGAAAGGAGGGGAGGGGGTCCGGAACCCCCTCCCCCCCTCCCCCGCCTTGGCGCTGAAAAGGAGGGGGGGGGGTCGGACCCCCCCCCCCTCGTGTAGGGAGTACGGAGTTGGGAGCAGGGAGTGGTGAGTAGTGAGTAGTGAGTTAGTGCGTAGTGAGTAGTGAGTAGTGGGTAGTGAGTAGTGGGTAGCGAGTGGCGAGTAGGGAGTAGGGAGTAGGGAGTGGAGAGTAGTGAGTAGTAATACTCAGTAGTGTGTAGTGATAAGTGAGTAGTGAGTGGTGAGTAATGAGTAGTGAGAAGTGAGTAGCGAGTAGCGAGTAGTGAGTACTGAGTAGGGAGTAAGGAGTAATGAGTAGTGGGTAGTGAGTAGTGGGTAGTGAGTAGTGGGTGGCGAGTAGTGATTAGTGAGTAGTGAGTAGTGGGTAGTGCGTAGTGCGAAGTGAGTGAGTGGTGAGTAATGAGTAGTGAGTAGTGAGTAGTGAGTAGTGAGTAGTGAGCAGGCAGTAGTGAGTAGCGAATAGTGAGTAGTGAGTAGTGAGTAGTGATAACTGAGTAGTACGTAGTGCGTAGTGACTAGTGAGTAGTGATGAATAGAAAAGTTCTGGGTAGTGGGAGTGGGTAGTGAGTAGTGAGTAGCGAGTAGGCAGTAGCGAGTAGTTAGTAGTGAGGAGCGAGTAGGGCGTAGCGAGTAGTGAGTAGCGAGTAGAGAGTAGTAAGCAGTGAGTGGTGGGTAGTGATTAATGAGTAACGAGTAAGGAGGAGCGAGTAGTGAGTAGTGAGTAGTGAGTAGGGAGTAGGGAGTAGGGAGTAGTGAGCAATGAGTAATAAGAGGTGGGTAGCGAATAGTGGGTAGTGAGTAGCGATTGGTGAGTAGTGGGTAGTGAGTAGTGACTAGTGACTAGTGAAATGTGACAAATGACTAGAGACTATGCAGTGACTAGTGAGTCGGGAGTAGTAAGTAGTGAGTAGTGAATAGTGAGTAGCGGGGAGTGAGTAGTGCGTATTGAGTAGCGAGTATGGGAGTAGCAGCGAGTAGTGAGTACTGAGTACTGTGTAGTCAGTATTGTATAGGGAGTAGGGAGTAGCGAATAGTGGGTAGTGAGAAGTGATTTGTGGGCAATGAGTAGTTAGTAGTGAGTAGTGAGTAGTGGATAGTGGGTAGAGGGTAACGGATAGTGATTAGTGAGTAGTGAGTAGGGAGTAGTGAGTAGTGCTTAGTGAGTAGTGAGTATTGAATAGTGAGTAGTGAGGAGTGAGTAGTGAGTAATGTGTAGGGAGGAGGGAGTAGTGAGTAGGGAGTAGTGAGTAGCGAGTAGTGGGTGGTGGGTAGTGAGTAGTGGATAGTGAATAGTGAATCGTGAGTAGTGAGTACGGGGTAATGAAAAATGAGCAGCGAATAGCGAGTAGTCAGTAGTGGGTAGTGAGTAATGAGTAGTGAGTACCCTTTGGGGCTGGGGTTAGTGGTTGGGGTTAGGATTAGGGGTTTGGGTTAGTGTGAGGACTAGAAGTAGGGGTGGCGGGGGTCGGGTTCCGGAGTCAGGGGGCGGCGTGGCGAAAGGGGGGGGGGGGGGGGTCGGACCCCCCCCCACCTTTTTGAAGGGGGGAAAGGGGGGGGGGGGTCCCGGACGACGGATCGGGGAAACGGGTGGGGGGGGGGGGGGATTCCCCGACGACGGATCGGGGAAGGGGGGGGAGG